GGGAGGAGTAAAGGCCGGAGAGATCGAAAAAGATGCCAATTGATGTATATATAGCAACCACATTGGTCCCGGTTCGTGGCAAAAACCGGGACCAATGCCTCCTTTAGTCCCGGTTGAAGGCTCCAACCGGGACCAAAGGCCTCTTTTCAGCAGCCCAAAGGGCGGGAAACGATGACCTGTGGTCCCGGTTGGAGCCACGAACCGGGACCAAAGAGGTGCATTGGTCCCGGTTGGTGCCACGAACCGGGACCAAAGAGGTGCATTGGTACCGGTTGGTGCCACCAACCGGGACCAATGGACCCGTGTAACTACTTTTTTATCTCTGCAGCTGTTTTTTTGTTGATTCTTCCAGCAGCTTTCGTTTTAGTCCCACCTCGCCAAGCGAGAGGCACTCGCAGCTGTTTATAAGCCCTGAGTGCAGATACAATGACGAAGAGGCTCAATGCTCCTGCACGTTGGTTGGCTTCAACCCTTGCGGGATACGGTAGACTGCACAGAGCTATGTGCAGTGCAGTTGACACTATCCCGAAAGGGTTGAAGCAGATTAACGAGCATTGCGTCTCTTTTTTATTTTTAATGACTTATTATAACTCAGAAAAAATAATATAGCAGAAAAAGAAAAAAAAACTATATAAAAAACTACTCAGAAATGAATAGAAGCAAAAAATAGTTGTGATTAACTATACTAAAAAAGGAGCATATATGCTTATTTTTAATGGCTTATTACAACACAGAAATAAAAAGAAAAAATAATATAGCAGAAAAAGAAAAAAAACTATATAAAAAACTACTCAGAAATGAATAGAAGCAAAAAATAGTTGTGATTAACTATACTAAAAAAGGAGCATATATGCTTATTTTTAATGGCTTATTACAACTCAGAAATAAAAAGAAAAAATAATATAGCAGAAAAAAAATACTATATAAAAAACTACTCAGAAATGAATAGAAGCAAAAAATAGTTGTGATTAACTGTACTAAAAAGGAGCATATATGCTTATTTTTAATGGCTTATTACAACTCAGAAATAAAAAGAAAAAATAAATATAGCAGAAAAAGAAAAAAAAAACTACTCAAAAATGAGTACAGATGCGCTTATAGAGGAAATTTCAACTTAAATTCATAACGAATTTCAAGAGAAATCCGTATGAATTTATGCTAAATTACCTATATAAGCGCATCTATTTTCATTATCCGAGGAGCTCAATAAGTTAGAGAGGGAGAGGCTTATAAACCAGTCCCGTTCATCTTCGGTTGGCGAGGTGGGACTAAACTCTGGTCGCAACGGGTACCAACCATTTAGTCCCGGTTGATGGCTCGAACCGGGACTAATGGGAAGCCTTTGGTCCCGGTTCAGGCCACCAACCGGGACCAATGGAGTTGGGCCAGTTGCGAGGACCATTGGTCCCGGTTCGTCCCACCAACCGGGACCAATAGGTCCAGATGAACCTGGACCAATGGCCCACGTGGCCCGGCCGGCCCCCGGCGCTCACGAACCGGGTCCGATGCCCCCATTGGTCCCGGTTCTGGATTGAACCGGGACTAATGGGCTGGACCGGCCTGGACCATTGGCCCCTTTTCTATTAGTGGGCCCTTCACATTGTCCGATGACACGAGGAAGAGTATCATCTCTAACCAGAACTGAAGGAAAGAATAAAGAATACCACCATGTGATGAAAGTGCCGGGGGATATGGTCCCTAGCTATATTAAGACCGTGGCTTTCCAGTTGCTTCACACCTTCATGTGCCATTTCTTTTCCTTGTTTACTCTTGTCATCTGAGACATCAATGATCATAGCGCACAGCTGCCTGAAACACGACTCAGTACACCGGCTAAATTTCTTGAATAGCTATAGCGTGAAAAAGAAATTTGTAAAATAAGAGTGGAGGCAGTGTTTTGCAAAATAAAATAGGGTAATAAAAACTTATAACTAATGTTATGTATGAATAACATGAAAATGAGTCATCAACCTCTCTGAACAGCTAGGTATATAGTAGGAAAGTTCATAATTGGGTTGTGATTACAATGAATTCATGAATATGTAGAGATTTACTTAACAAACACTCCACATCCAAACAGGAATTGGAATTGGCTTTGAATTGATTAAAACTAGCAATTACTGCTTCAGATGCTCTGAAGTTAGCAGCTATCATGTTCTGGTGAACCTGACGGTGCAAACATGATTAACTCTTCTAAAGATGAAACTTCGCCATAGCATTACTTTCCGAGGATAAGTATCCTGTTTGACGGACTATTTCTTGTCTTTTGCTTTCCGGTGGTGTTGACGTTAGGAAGCCCAATCAGGATAATGCTATTAGACTCTACCGGCATGCTGTTAACTGCGGCAATTAAGAGGATAATGCTGTTAACTGCAGCGAGGGACTGTTGTTAGATTTTACCGTCATGCTGAAGCATGCCTTTTTTTCATGTCTTGTACTAGGCGTCCACACATCATTTTGACTGTGGTAAAAAATGAAATCCACTCTTATGGCTATATGCAATAATGATACAAGTACATATAACTTGAACTACTTTAATACTCTTTCTCATGCGAGATTTATTATTATTGATGACCTTTACAAGGGAATGGTAGCATCATACATAAGTTGGTCAACTAATTAAGGAGATAACATGACAGACAACAAAGCAAAAAACCCAGACTTATCTTTCCTTTATATCCCTGTGACCACTAAACGCAGCAAGCAAAGAATCTGATGATGGATCCTGACATGCAGAAGCAAATAATTCATAGCTTTTGCTTTTGAGAGGGAAAGCAAAGAGAAAAGCAAAGCAAACGCAAGGAAAGCAGCTAATGTGTTTCCCATACTAGCTAGCTAAGCTTGTATCCATTCCTCAATACGGCGAGGGCGTGCAACTTTCAGTTTGCTTCTGTGGAGTATGAAGGCTTGTGCCAGTGCAGCAATTAACCAAGGTAACTACACCAATCCTCTGCATGTGCATATCTGCAGATTGATTAATTGCTTCTCCAGATTTATAGCTTCCTTTGAACAAAGCATTATGTTATAACTTCTCCAAATGATGGGGTTGATCTTGTGCTTTATTTAGGAAAGGAAAGGAATTGGATCCGGAGAATGCTGTGGACTGATCTATGGGTTAGATATTCCAAACAGAGCTGCTGATGTTTGAAGGATTGATTTGATTCATCATGCCTAAACCAGAGGTTGTCCATCACACACCTAGAACTTCAGTGATTAATGATGCAGATTTGTAACTTGGTTTCATTAGCTAGCTATTGAGTAGTGAGCTAGAACTTCACCAGTAGTATTCATTCCTAGGAACTTTTCCATTTTTAGTCATGCTGCGCCTCAATTGAACCTCAAGGCTAAAGTGATAAACCTCATTTTGATATCTTTATTTTTTATTGAACATCGCAGGAGATCAATATTCAAGTAAAAAATATCGATGTTGCAGCAGGAGAGATAATTGGCATTTTGGAGGATACAAGCAAAGGAAATGTGACCTTCGTCCGTGGTTGGTATGGACTTGGGGCATCAGCAGCACTCAAGGCAGTAGCGCAACGTCTGAAATCATCAAAATCAAAGTTTGACAGGGTTGTTCATGTGGATTGCTCGGTGTGGAAAAGCATGAGGGCCCTGCAAAAGGCAATCGCGGAGGAGCTGGAGCTTCCGCCATCGATGATGGCCATCTTTGATCAGCAGGACGAGGAGGATGATTTCAGTGGGATAGACCATGGCTGTCGAGAGGTGATACCAGATATCAGTACAGAAATCTTCAGAAGGCTTGCTGGCAGTAGTTTTGTGGTGATATTTCACAATGGAAGTAACAGATACATTGATCTGTACAAGTGTGGTGTCCCAGTACAATCATTATTTTTGAGTATTAAGGTGTTGTGGACATGGAACGGGAGGTTTCAATCCAAATACATAGATATATGGGATTGGGAAAAGATGGAGCTGCAAACTGATGTTGTTGTCAATTATTCTCATGATGATTGCATCCGTGATGAGGCATTAATGGAAGAGGCCAAGGAGATTGTCGGTTATATGGGTATTCCAGAGCCTGACATGAAACATATGATAGTTGAGAAGTGCTTCCAGTATGCCTATGCACTGGGGTCTGGCAGCTGTTTCAATTGGTTCAGTTGGAGGAACTGGGAGAAGCATGTTTTCAACTACTTTGTATGCGATGGGATTATACAAGGGCAAGGAGATAATTCGGCATGGGGAGTAGACGATGCTCTACAGAGAAACATGTCTATGGATTGGCTTCGTTTCCGCACTGATGATGACGTTCTTCGCCACTTGCAGTGCAGGCTTCATGACCGCTTGCTTTTGGTGCAACACAAGAAGGGCCTCCTACCTGATAATATTGGCATGGATCTTTCTGAGGCGACATCCTGCTTCATGTTACTAGAGCGCTAGGTCTTTTACCGGATCGCGACATTACCAGATGGCATATTCCAACATTCACACAGCAGCAAGCTGCGTGTGTTACATCTCTCTTGGTGCGGCTTCAGTTTTGAATCGCCTCCCTTCCTGTGTTGCAACCAGCTAAGATTCCTCCAGCTAAACGAATGCAGAAATATCCCATCTGATAAGCATCCAAGCCACAACGAAGACATGTCATGCTTCCAGAAGCTATGGGTGTTGCACCTTTGTTGTACAAACTGGTATAGGTTACTATCAGAAGAGATGATGAACTTTATGGCTGACCTCAGGGAGTTGACTGTGGAAGAAGTCGAGGATTGGAGCATAAGTGATTTACGTGGCAGGTTTCCTTCCCTTGTCAAGGTCCACGTAGAGGAACAAGGCTACTACTTACCAACCAAGGACCACAACTTGCCTGACCTGTCTAGCGCAAGCTTCCTTAAGACAGTCATCCTTATCAATTGTGTTCATGTGGAACAGGTTGTCCCCGGCATGCTGCCCCCATCGCTTGAGTCATTCACCTTCTTGTGTGATTCTTATACTCATCATGACTACGCTAGGATATCTAGAATTTCTTTCGGGGATTGTTCTCAGTTGAAGAGTATACTATTGCAAGGAGATCTACAGAAACTCGAGAAGCTGGACCTCTCAGGCACAGCAGTGAAAACCCTCGACCTCAGAGGGTTGGAAATTAACAATATCAAATTCCTCATCTTGTTGGGCTGTGAGAAGCTTTATGCAATATTATGGCCACCAGAAAACAAAAGGACAAAGGTTTTGGAGGTACTGCACATCGACACCACACGATCTACATCACCTAGCCAAGCTAATTGGGAAGAAAAACCCAGCGACCCTATTGCAGCCGTGGGATCATCATCTATTCTTGTTGCTACTACTACTGAACTGGGCATCAGTCGACATGCGTCTTTTGATTTTAAATGGTACATCTCTCCAAGGGATACAAGGATCCTTAGGTCGCTTGAACCGGTTAAAAATATTGAGCACAGTCCTGTATATATGGAAATGGGTTCAGCTCCTACAAGTGGTGCTATTGTTGGTGACAGTGAAGCTGCTCAAGGAATCCGTAGTCTATGCAAGCCTGATAAGTATTTATATGCAAGTGATGCCTTCTTTCAGAGCGACCTACAGGCTGGCACTGATAATGAAGGTGCAATCAGCTGGATTTGGGATTGCCCAGCTATCCCTACTCCAACGGCTCAAGACTTGTATGTTCACTTACAAGATAATCAGGGGATGAAGAGGGGATTACTGCAACAACAACAGGGCAACATCGAAGGAATTAATATTAGTCCTGATTCACTCTCTTGCCAGGTATTTAACAATGCTCGCATGCTTCATGTGCATGATAGCTCCTCCATCACTTGCATCACATGCCCGCAAGGTTCATACTGGAGGAGCCTTGAATGGTGCCGAGTCGAGAGGTGCCCCGAGCTGCGTACTGTCTTTCGTACTGCCCAACAAAGTGAGGGTGATAGCTTCTGTCATCAGTTGAGCACATTCTGGGCATCTCAACTCCTGAAGGCACGCTACATCTGGTATTGGAGTGCAATGCATGTGTTTTCCTCTGTACGCATAGTACTATTGCACCTGGACTACTGCCCTAGGCTCATACATGTGCTTCCTTTGTCCGAGTCTGTGGACACTTTGCCTTGCCTGGATACCCTGGAAATTGTGTGTTGCGGTGATCTTAGGGAGATCTTCGCTTTGGACCCTAAGCAAAAGGAGCAGAAAGTTATACAGTTTCCCAAGCTAAGGCGCATCCACCTGTATGAGCTCCCCAGCCTGCGGCGCATCTGTGGGAGCAAGATGTCTGCGCCCAATTTGGAGACTGTCAAGATCAGGGGCTGCTGGAGCCTCAGGTTCCTTCCTGCTGTCAGCGGAAACAACGAGAAGATGCCTAGTGTGGACTGCGAGAAGGAATGGTGGGATAACCTTGAGTGGGACGGGGTGGAGGAGAACCACCACTCTTCACTCTATGGGCATAGCCACTCATCATACTACAAGGCCCAGCTGCCAAGAGGCACAGTTCTAAGGTGAGATACATGTGGCCCATCTCTCCTTTCATCGATAACTCGATTAGAGTGCTGGCCAACATAATTTAGCGTCCAATCTACACTACTCTAGTTCTGTTATTATGTGTGTGTGGTGAATCAATCATCTCACTTGCGATTTGTTTGTGCTGCACCGTAGGTAATCAGTTCCTTCCATGGGTCGATCTCTACGCTGACGTTGATCCTATCATGCTGTGGTGCTTCCTAGACAGCAGATCTCTTCGCTGCGATGTATGGTTTCCTGTTGCTTTCCCTACTTCATGTTGTTTTGATTGGTTTGGTTGGTGCTTTGCGTCTGCACTGAGGTGCGGCACCTCTGCAACAACGTGGATAGATGATGTATATGTTACAAGCTTTGAGCAAGATAAGAATGAATAAGAGAATGCATTCAGCCTGAGCAGTGTGACTATGAGCACTCTGCTTGCTCAAGCTGCTTACATGCTGCGGTGTGGTGTGTGGGATGATGTGGTGTGTGAGTTTTCAGCCTGTGTGATGTTGTGGCGTGGTGTATGATTTTTCAGCTATGGACTGATCATTGTAATAATAATTGAGAATTATTGCTCCGACTTGCGCATAAATGTTGGTGATGATTTGTGTTAATCCACTGCTTGATTAAGGTCCCATATGCAGCACATTATATTAAACCATTGCTTGATTAAGGTTCCTTCTCTGGCGGGTTTTGCATTTTTTATTCTGTTCGGCGTAATGTTTTTGTGACCTTGTTACTGAAAAAGGCTTTCGCCCCGCTTTATATATAAAGCACCAACCACTTACAACGAGCGATACAACACACAACACGACACACACCCAAGGCAAGATACATAGGTGCTAAGATGCAGCCAACACTCCCCCAAACAATTCCAAGACAACAAAGATACACACTAGGCACACTAGGAAGTCGAGGGAGAACTCAACCGGGAACAAGCCACAGAAGAGACCAAGCTGCAAGCCGTCGATCCATGAACCCCAAGGCGGTGCCTTCAAGAAGGATACGCCACCGGAGTGCCGCCACCACCCGATCCAGAGGATCAAGATTTTCATCCGGGGTACCTTGGAGGACATGGAGCAACCGCAACGGAGTCTTCAAGAAGATGCCGACGTCCTCGGGCGCCGCCTCCGTCGGCCTGGACATGCCAGGCAGGATTGTCATCCAGGTCAACAACTCCGCCTCCGAACAGGTTACGGACAGTCCTAGGGACAGAGCCGCATCACCGCCACCGATCGACAAGCACCAGCCGCCATGTCGCCCACGCGACCATGGAGACTAGCCCGCACCTGAGCCTTGAGCTCCGCCCATGAGCACGCCGCTCCCACCACCAAGGTCGCCGCCCTGCATCCCGACACTCTAGAGACCGACAAAGGAACATGCTTGGAAACAACCGACCAATCCCTAGCACGGACAGAGCCGCCGGTGACCAGCCTGCCACGAACACCACAAACCCGGAAGCACTAGGCAGGGGAAATGGGGAGGAGAGGAGCGGAGCATGTCCGGACCGGCGCCCCCTGCACCGGTGACGGGTAGAGAGCCCACCCGTCCCTCCTGCAACCTTCCCAGACGTCACCCCTGACGCCTCGCCATGGCCTCCAGCCAGCCCGACGCGGCGCAGCAGCGGCCACCCCGTCCACCGCGGCGAGGGTCGCCGGACCGCCCGAATCCTGCAGCCAAAGAGGGTCTCCAAAGCGCCCAGCCACCGATGACCCACACCGCCGCACCGCTGCAGGAGCAGGCCGCACGCCACCGCGGACCACGCCCCGAGCCACGACCTCACGAGGTCATGGCCAGCCCCCCGCGCCGCCTGACAAGAAGGAGCCGCCAGATCTGAAGGTCGATTTGGAGCCCCGTCGCAGTCAGGTCCGCGCCGCCTCGGCCGCCACGACGAGCAACACCACCGGCAACACACGCAGCCCTCCACGCCGGAGCAACAGCCACCAGAATTTCGTTACCTACTTTTCTGCTAGTGTGAACTGCCTGCAAATTTTACATGATCATTACAACTATATGCACACTCTTGTTGCACTCTTTGGGTCCATAGGTTCATTCAGATTTTATATTTTGTAATTTTTCTGCTAGTTATTCGACCATAGATAACACTTATTTGAATTAATATTCTTCTATACTAAAACTGACATATCATTAAAATAAATAAAAATTATCCAAAATTGACATTCTAAAAAAATTGTTGAACTTTGATAAGAAAAACATTATATGCATGAACGAATTAATGTTATGTATGAATATCATGAAAATGAGTTCCATCTAGGTGGGAAAGCTCATAGTCTGGTTTTAATTAGGGTTAATTCATGAATATATGTACAGATTTTCTTAACAGGTATCCCACTTCTGGAGTGTATATAATCGATATATGTACAGGTCTACTTGACAGGCCTCATACCTGGAGATATTGGCAATGCTGGTCGACAAGGTGATGGCAGTATCCACAGACATAGCCCGAATGAGCACTGTCGGATTCTGGACGGCGAGAGAAAAAGAACAAAGTGAAGGATCAGACAGACAATGTGTGTAGTACTGCCAATTTTATTCATGCACAGAGTTCTTACGAGTTGTGGTTGTGCAAATATCTAGAGACGGAGAAAACAAGCAAAAGATAAGACGAAAAAGTTCAGCTAACTCCTCAGTGCGATCAGTTGTTTTGGAAGCTAATTAGGACTGGGGTATTCACCGTCAAATCGATGTATGTTGATATTATTAATTCTGCTGTAATACCCACTTCTAAGGAGGTCTGGAAGGTTAAGGTTCCTTTGAAGATTAAAGTGTTTATGTGGTTTGTGCATAAGCAAGTTATTCTTATTAAGGACAATCTAGTTAAGCGCAACTGGACAGGTTCTACTAGGTGTAGTTTCTGTGATACGGATGAGACCATCAAGCACTTATTTTTTGACTGTCCGTTGGCACGCGGGTTGTGGCGCTCCGTGCAAATTGCCTTTAATATTACTCCTCCCACATCCGTAAACACGTTATTTGGGGCGGTTTTTTTTCGAAAAGGGGGAATTCCCCGGCCTCTGCATCAGAACGATGCATACGGCCTTTATTATTAGAAATAAATCAAGGTCTCAACAATGTCTTACAGTAATGTAACAAAAGCATGGATTAGCTCACATAGAGCGTCCACGACAAAGCAGCAAAGAGAACAGCCACAACCGGCCAGCATGAAACCAGATAGGTAAAACTAAATGCCTATCCTATTACATGATCGCCATCCAAACCGGTTGAAGATATCCCGCGCCACCATCTCCCACCGGACAGATCCAGTAACCAAATGCTCCCTGGCCTCCGTCGGAGTGAGTAACGACCACGTACGGATCAGCGCAGTAGCTCGGAATAACACCTGCAAAATATGGAATTGCAGAAATGATTTGGTTTTTAACAGAACAACAAATACTCATTTTTTGCAGGTGTTATTCCGAGCTACAGCGCTGATCCGTACGTGGTCATTACTCACTCCGACGGAGGCCAGGGAGCATTTGGTTACTGGATCTGTCCGGTGGGAGATGGTGGCGCGGGATATCTTCAACCGGTTTGGATGGCGATCATGTAATAGGATAGGCATTTAGTTTTACCTATCTGTTTTCATGCTAGCCGGTTGTGGCTGTTCTAGTTGGTGCTTGCAGTTGACGCTCTATGTGAGCTAGTCCCTACTTTTGTTACATTACTGTAAGATCTTGTTGAGACCTTGCTTTATTTCTAATAATAGAGGCCGTATGCATCGTTCTGATGCAGAGGCCGGGGAATCCTCCCTTTTCGAAAAAAAAAGCTCATGCATAGTCAGACTCAGACCACGATACAGCTACGAGTGATCACATTGGTAATATTCAAACAGAATGGAGTAATTCTCGCCTTTTGAAAAGAGAGGCACCAAGAAAAAAGAGGTGATTTCTCAATATCTGCAGTAGCCTATGAGAGAGAGAAAAAACCGTGCTGTATTTCTATATGCAAGAACAAATCTCACCTCTTAACCAAACAAAACAGCCCAAATCCTCAGAAGGACATGGGAAATTTGAAGGTAGATAAACAGGGAAACAAAGAACAATGTGGGAGGATGTTTCTCTGAAACTTTGATTCTCTGTTTATCTACTTGGATACATGGAGAGAGAGGAAGGAGGAGAACCGTATTGCTATATATTCCTACCA